TTCATGTTTACCATTTAAAAATTTTAAAATTTGATGTTAACCAATATATCACGAACCTTTTTCGTATTAACATAATTTAGGTTTGAGTGAACAATCTTGTTGATTTTTTTTTTTATGTTATTTTTGCCAATTTCCCTTACTTTTTATTTAGTAGAACTTATTTTGATTTTTTTGCAGGTTTGGTGATAAACGGCGATTTCGAGACGTCACCGTCAAATGGCTTCCCTGATGGCGGAGTAATCGACGGACCCACCGAAATCCCAAGCTGGAGATCAAACGGTACGGTGGAGCTGGTTAATTCCGGTCAGAAACAAGGCGGTATGATCCTGATCGTACCACAAGGCCGTCACGCCGTCCGATTAGGCAACGACGCAGAGATAAGCCAAGATCTAACGGTGGAGAAAGGTTTAGTATACTCCGTCACGTTCAGCGCAGCTCGCACGTGCGCCCAGCTCGAATCAATAAACGTGTCGGTGTCGTCTGTCGGAAACGCAGACGCGGATGGTGGAACGGTTGCGTCGTCTCGAAATGTGGATTTGCAAACGCTGTATAGCGTTCAAGGGTGGGACCCATACGCGTGGGCGTTTGAAGCGGAAGAGGATCATGTACGGTTGGTTTTCAAAAACCCAGGTATGGAAGATGACCCCACTTGTGGGCCCATTATTGACGATATTGCAATTAAGAAACTCTTCACTCCTGATAAACTCAAAGGTAAAACTCTCAGTTTAATCCTGAATTTCTCTGTTTTCCTGTTTTTTAACCTAATAGTTAATAAAATTTATCACTTGCACACTGAATTTATCTGTTTCTTATTTTGATCCCCAAGTTCTTAAATTTTTCAGTTTCAACCCTGAATTTCTGTATTATTGATCCACTCATGTGACTCTTTTTCTTGTTTCTAACCCTAGTCAATTTTTATCTCACCATGATCATATAAACCTTAAGCTTCTCTATGTTTATTATTTGAACCCCCAAGTTTTTTAAAATTGTTTTATTTACCGTTGATGTACCAAATTAACCGTAAATGTATCTGTTATCTATTTTTGATCCCCAAGTTTTATAATCGTTTCGAATTCACCCTTTTTTTTTTTTTTTTACATTTGCAGATAACGCGGTGATTAATGGAGACTTCGAAGTAGGACCATGGATGTTCAGGAACACGTCTCTTGGTGTCCTACTTCCAACGAACCTTGACGAAGAAACCTCGTCTCTTCCTGGTTGGACTGTTGAATCGAACCGAGCGGTCCGGTATGTTGACTCGGACCATTTCTCGGTTCCAGGGGGAAAAAGAGCCGTTGAGCTTCTCTCAGGCAAAGAAGGCATTATTGCCCAAATGGTCGAAACCAAAGCAGACCGTCCGTACACATTGTCTTTCTCGCTAGGCCACGCTGGTGATAAATGCAAGGAACCATTGGCTATAATGGCATTCGCAGGAGATCAGGCGCAGAACTTTCATTACATGGCACAAGCGAACTCGAGCTTCGAAAAAGCCGGTTTGAATTTCACCGCCAAGGCTGATCGAACCAGAGTCGCGTTCTACAGCGTGTATTACAACACGAGGACTGATGATATGAGCTCCTTGTGTGGACCTGTGATCGATGACGTTAGAGTTTGGTTCTCTGGTTCGAACAGAATCAGAGCTGGATTTGGGTTTGGGTTTTCGGTTCTTGTTCTTCTTGCTAACGGTTTGGTTTAGTAGCTCGGGATTTAGATGTCTCCCGGTTTTGTATCCGTGTACCAGTAAAATGTTATTGCAAACCAAGAATTGTATGTTTATCGAAGGTGTTTTAAATATTTTAATCGTCTATGCAAAAAAGCATGTTCGAATGTTAAAACAAGAAATTGTTCTAGTTCTAGAAATTAAAGTTTTTGAGTATGTATCGTTTATTAAACCTGGTAACCAACTTCAGTTGGGAAAACCGTACCGGAGATCACAAATATTCCGGTTTCATTTGGTAGAATAGTAGGGCTAATGAATTTTTGTCCTATTTTAAAAACGGTGTCGTTGCATATCAAAAGGTCTTTTTAAGTTGTGAAATTACCGTCGTCTCTGATTCCTTTAATTCAATGCCCTAATTTGGTATTTTGCTTCGATCGTGAAATTCGTATGTGTAACGCCCGTGAACCAAAATGTGTATTTTTGGTGGTGCGTCGAGCGACGCAGGGGAGGTGCGTCGAACGACGCAAATCTTTAATCA